AAGAGATCAAAAGAGCTAGCAGGCAAGGCAGTCACGAACCTTGGCAGCAGCGGTGCTGAAGTGGCGGATTGCGATTGGAAGGTCGATTGTGGCATGGGCGTACTGCCCGAGCAAGAGGTGGAGGTTCGGACCAAACGAGGCCAGCAGGGTCGGGAAGCGACTTGACCAATCACAAATCTCCAACAGAACCTGGTAGGTTGGTTGGAATGATTGGGGGGGATGGAGAAAAAACCAGCTAGACTTACCCATTAAGAGAGAGGGTATTCTGTAAATGTCAACGCCAGCACCACTTGGGCTTCTAAGACGTAGAGCAGGAGGGTGCCTGCCCACGCACATCCCCCTTATAACCCTTTCCAACCCCCACGCACCTGTATTTCTCTGCTTACCCGTTGCGAGAGAGTTTACTCAGTAGAAGTCAGCGCCAGCACCGCGTGGGCCTCCAAAATGTAGAGCAGCAAGAGGAGGAGCGCCACTGTAACCAGTTCCTCCCTTCCCTTCCCCGTACATGCAACCTCGAATTCGCTTGCTTACCCGTTGCAAGAGAGAATACTCATTAGAAGTCAGCGCGAGCACCGCTTGGGCCTCCAAGACGTAGAGCAGCAAGAGGAGGAGCATGCCGGCCCACGCCACACTCCACCATCACTCTACCCCCTCCCACACACATATGCCTGCATGCGCAGCTTACCCATTGAGAGAGAGGATACTCTGTAGATGTCAGCGCCACCAGCACCGCCTGGGCTTCCAAGACGTAGAGGAGCAAGAGGAGAGGAGCGTGCCTGCCCAAGCCCCCTCGCCCCCTTCCCATCGCCCCGTTCAGACACCACACACCCTGTGTCTGTTTGCTTACCCGTTGCGAGAGGGGGTATTCTGTAGATGTCAGCGCCAGCACTGCTTGGGCTTCCAAGACGTAGAGAAGCAAGAGCAAGAGCGTGCCTGCCCACACCACACTCCAAGGCTCCAGAGTGGACTCTGTGAGGAGTGAGAGAGTGGAAGGGGAGCAAGGCAAGGGAGAGACACGTGGAATAAACTGACTGATGAGGCAGCTCACACTGCGTAGAGGAGCAAGAGGAGTGTGCCGGCCCACGCCACACTCCACGGCTCCAGAGTAGACTCTGCAATGAGAATCACGGGTGTTGACACATGAAGTAGGGAGTCAGAGGACTGTATTCGGGGTTCCATTGCAGAGTCTCCACGCTAGGAGCCATTGAGAGGATTTTTGAGAATTCTCGAGCGTGTTTTTTGAGAATTCTCAAAACGTGTTTTTGAGAATTCTCAAAGAATTCTCAGAGAATTCTCAAAAACACGGGTGTTGACACATGAAGTAGGGAGTCGGAGCACTGCATTCGTGGTTTTTGAGTCGACTCAAGAGCACTGTATTCGTGGTTTTTGAGTCGACTCAAGAGCACTGTATTCGTGGTTTTTGAGTCGACTCAAGAGCACTGTATTCGTGTTTTTGAGTCGACTCAAGAGCACTGTATTCGTGGTTTTTGAGTCGACTCAAGAGCACTGTATTCGTGGTTTTTGAGTCGACTAAAGAGCACTGTATTCGTGGTTTTTGAGTCGACTCAAGAGCACTGTATTCGTGGTTTTTGAGTCGACTCAAGAGCACTGTATTCGTGGTTTTTGAGTCGACTCAAGAGCACTGTATTCGTGGTTTTTGAGTCGACTCAAGAGCACTGTATTCTTGGTTTTTGAGTCGACTCAACAGCACTGTATTCGTGGTTTTTGAGTCGACTCAAGAATCACGGGTGTTGACACATGAAGTAGGGAGTCAGAGGACTGTATTCGTGGTTCCATTGCAGAGTCTCCACGCTAGGAGCCATTGAGAGGAGCACTGCTATTCGTGGGCTGGATAGGCATGCCCTTACTAGGTGAGGAAGCATGTCCAAACTTACCTGTTGAACCACTTCAGAGAAACATCAAACGTGCCTCTTCGTATGGCTCAAGGGAAGCAAGAGTGTGAGTGTACCCGTTCAGTCACTTGTGAAGATTCTCAAAAGTGACTCTTGATATTTCTCAGAAACGACGCAAGGGCGTGAGTGAGGGAGGGTACCTGTAGAGCCTGGGAGGACCCCGATGCGGTGAAGCTCATCTGAAAGGGTGAAGATTTCGAGAATGGTGAGAATGACAGGGGGGTGGGAACGAGCATGCGAGCAGGTGCAGGGGAGAAAGAGTTTTGGGACAAAAGAGAGGAATGAGAGGACTGGAAACTTGCAGCAGGAGGAGGAAACAGGAAGACGAAGATGGGAAGGACGCGATACTGTATGGGAAATGAAGAAAAGGAGGGATGGGAGGGGTGGTTGGCGAGACAACACTGGAAGGATCGGCAGCAACCATGCGCAGAATTCTATGTCATAACCCATGTCACACCCCACTGGGCGCATTGCATTGCCCCTCACCCCAGTGGGGTTAGTACTAAGAATAAGTGCGTCACACATCAACAGCCACATCGCTACTCTCTCACACACCCCCCACCCACCTCGCAGCATCTCCCTCTCTTCCTTCAACGCCCCTCAGCTTCCAGGAGCTTTCCTCCCGGGCGGCTCAGCATGACCTTTAGCAGGCCTGCCACCGCCCTGACAGCTGGCAGCGGCAGCCAATCAGCATTGAGCACGTGGGGCGGGCCAGTGGTAACCGCATCAACGGATCATCCCTGAAACATGCGCCTGACGCTTCTCCTCCTTCCCCTGCGACCATTGCCCCTGCTCCGTTGCCCATCACCCCTCCTGCTGCCCCTGCTGCTCCTGCTGCACCCACTGCTCTTACTGCTCCTGTATCCTGCCCCAGCCTCTGTGCATGCACATTCCCCCCCTGCTGCAGCTGACGTGGCGCTGACGCAGCAACTGGCGAGCTGCCAGCTGGCGCCTCACGATTCGCTGCAGGGGGACTCATCCCCGCCAGTGCCTCCTCTGCTGCTGCCACGTCAGCCTTGGCCTGGTTGTAGTCAGCCATGCGGAGGTGCCACGTGGCAGCCAGTAATTGGACGTAGACGAACAGGCCACGGTAGTCTGGCTGCTGACGTGGCGGGATCTGCTGCCACAACGAGGTGCATTCTGAAAGAAGGGTTGAGATCTGCTGTGGCGTGTGATGGACGGTCGAGATGCGAATGTGCAGCAGGGAAGCGGATAGCAGGAGCTGGTGGTGAAATGTATCAAGGGCGGAAGGGATAGGAAGGGAAGGGAGGGAGGGAGGGAAGCGAGGAGAGGAGTGGCATATCAGCTAGCTGAAGCTCTCGCATGGAATAGCATCGCCTAGTCTCGCATGCTCTTCACCAACTGGTATGCACGCTATAGCGAATACATCAACAAATATATACACATACACACCTACTCCCACCTTCCTCCCCCCTCCTCCCCCTCCCCTTTCCCCCCCTTTCCCTCCACCACACACACACGTACCATCATGCCCCTATCCCCTGTCGTCTGTACAGCAGCCGTCCCCTTCCCCAGCGCACTAGCAGCCCGTTCCACATCCCCCTCCCCAGCAGCCGCCCTGCCAACGTGCTACATACATACACAATCAACACTCAAGTGCCCCTTCACATCAGCAAGACACGCTTACCATCATGCCCCTATCCCCTGTCGTCTGTACAGCAGCCATCCCCTTCGCCAATGCCCCAGCAGCCCCCTCCACATCTCCCTCCCCCAGCAACCGCCCCGCCATCCCCACCGAGAACACCCCCATCCACCGAGCCAGCTCCGCCGCCGAACCTCCGCCCGAACCTCCGCCCAAACCTCCTCCCGAACCTAACCCCAAGCCTGCAGCCGAGCTGGGACCTGGTTCAGAACCCGAGGCTGAGCGTGGGAGTGTGGCGAGCTGGTGTGTGACTAGATCGATGCCTTCTGAAGTACGTGCTTGTGAAAGTGGGCGTGGCCAATCAGGTGGTAACACGTGGCGAGCAGAGAGAGGGCCGTGCACTTGAGGAGGATATTCCCAGGAATGGCCTTCAGAAGCACTTGCTGCATTGGAAAAGAGGGGGGGAGACGGGGGGAGGGGCAGAGGGAAAGAGAGTGCACCACGCCACAGGTGGGAAGGAGGGTAAAGGCGGGAAGCTGTGGACTGCACAGCAGCACATCTTTTGACACGTCTCAAAAGACTCCAGCCAGCCAGTACCAGGTTGAGATTGAGACCACTATCAGATTCTACCAGTCCCACTCAACCACTGCGCACCAGTCGCCACCGCATCTCACCGCTCTCTCGAGATGCGCCTTGGCGTGCAGCACGTTGCGGGAGTGTTTCAGCAGCACGTGAGCGAACCAGCACCGCGTGCAAACCTCCACCATACCCTACTGGAACTGTTAATCACCGCACATCACCAAGTCTTACCGCTCTCTCGCCTTGGCGTGCAGCACGTTGCGAGAGTGTTTCAACAGCACGTGAGCCAGCCAGCACCGCGTGCAAACCTCCACCATACCCTACTGGAACTGTTAATCACCGCACATCACCAAGTCTTACCGCTCTCTCGAGATGCGCCTTCGCGTGCAGCACATTGCGGGAGTGTTTCAGTAGCACATGAGCCAGCCAGCAGCGGGTGCGAACCTCCACGAGAGGAAGGAACGGCTGGGTACTCTGACACACGGCTTCCAAGCACTTCACCAACTGCAAGAAGGGTAGGGGAGTGGCCGGGTTGGAGAGGAGGTGCGGGGGTCAACACGTGGGCCAACCAGCACTGCGTGCGAACCTCCACAAGAGGAAGGATCGGCTGGGGGCTCTGACACACGGCTTCTAGACACTTCACTACCTGCAGAGAGAGGGGGGGGGGGCCCGAGGGAAGGTGAGATGGTCTGTAACAGGGACGAATCGAAGTCCATTGATTAGAAAATTACCAGGGGCAACCACGTCAACGCTTCACCTGCGGAATCTGATGTGTACTCTCGAAGTGTGACGCCATGAGCCATAACGCGCTGGCCGCCTTGCTGCTGTCGCTCACCGACCCTGCTGTAGTCACACCCCCCCTGTAGTAACACTTCCCGTTCTGCCCAGACCCGCCGACGGCGATAAGGGTCCGCTGTACGCGTTATTGCGGGGGTTACTGGTCCCGTTATGAGCATGAGCAGCCATGGAGAAACGGTATTTTCCTAGTGAGCTGTTCTTGGTTGCACGTGTCGCTATCCGTTCACCCTCTCTGCCTCTGGTCGCGCCAGCTGGGTGCCTTAGAAACTGCCACGTGTCTTCACTGAACGTGATCGCGTCACCAGGATTTGATTCTAGGAGGCAATCGTAAATGCCGAGCAGGTTTTAAGATGCCGAAGGATTAGCGAAGGAACTAGATTAGCGAGATCAAGACTCTTCGCAAAGATGCTGAGAAAGCCTGGAGGTTAAAGAATTCGCAAGGCGACTGAGGACTAGCGAAAACTATTTCGCAAGGCTAACGAATCTAGCGAACCCTACGATCGCGGAAGCTAACGAACTCGCAAGACGAATGAGGACTGGCAAACATTCTCAATGGCACCACCAAAACTGCAGTCCCGCCAATTTCCAGCAAAAGCGAATCAAGCGATGCATTATAGTGATCAATAGAGTTGTCAGGCTAAGAGCCTCAAGAGCAGAGGCGAGAGACCAGGAGCAGCGCGAGCTGGGTTTGCCTGGAGAATGCTGCGGTGTTGCCTGGCGGGAGTGTCAGAGCGACCTTGGGAATGTCTATTCTGGGACGGACCGCAAACAAGAAGTGGATTCCGTACTCGTGACGAGAGGATCCGTTCACATCTCAAAGATAAACTGCTTACACCGCAAAGTTTCGTATTTTCGGGACAAACTTTCAAAGACAACCAACGAACCCAACCAACCAGTGAGCTTTCTCACCCTCCAACCCAACTCAACCCCTTGGCTAATCCCCTCTCCCCTTACACTTGCTTGTAGGTGTTGCGCTTCCCCACTTTCTCAGTCACGACTCTGTTTCTGACAGGCAGGTGTTCCACGCCTTTACCGCGCGCATCAGTTTCCGCAGATATTATTTTCGCGCAACCTCTTCCGCGCAATTCCGCCCCGCTCAACGTTATTACGCGTATCCTCCCTTCCGCGTGCCATCTTTCCCCCGACCATGGAGCTGCGCAGCGGAGCGATTCTCCCCGGCCCCGTGCCCGTCCCCATAACGGCGGCGGAGCAGCACGCGGACGGGTGGTTCCGCGAGGGCGTGCGCCTGGTGTTTGCGCGCTGGACTGCGCTGCAGCTGGCGGTGGAGAATCAGTGGGGCGGCGGAAGGAGCGCGGAGAAGGCGCAACACATGCAGGCGGACCTGGTGCATTTCTGCTACAGCAAGCGCGGTAAGCGGCGAAGGTGGGGGGGATTTTGCGCGATAAGCGGGGGAGATCGGGGGAAGGCGCGACACCTGCAGGCGGACCTGGTCCGCAAGCGCGGGTGGGGCGGGGGAAAAAGGGGAAGGGGGAAGGGAGTATTAAGCCGTTATGGGGAGCAATTATTCGTGGCGGCCAAACCGCCAATCAGTGCCCACGTCGTCTTGCAGAGTGCAGAAACATCAACGCTTTTGGTAACTAGGCTGAAAAACAGGATGTTGGTGAGAGACTTATTAATTTACTGAAAAACGGGTGTTACTGAAAAACGCTTTATGTATTATATCGTTTTTCTCATTACTGTGGTGAGTGTACCAGGAGCGGTGTACGGGGACGAGCTGGAGGAGTGGCTGGACGAGGCGACGGTGAGGGATTTCAACATGGAGGTGGAGGACGGGAGCCTGCGAGAGGTGAGTAAGGAGGATTCATATTCAAGGGAAGAATCGGTAGGTGCAGGTGCAGTACGGTTACTGCAGTGAGAGACTGCAACATGGAAGTGGAGGATGGGAGCCTGCAAGAGGTGAGAGGAGGATTCATATCCAAGGAAGAATCGGTGGGTGCAGGTGCAGTTCGGTTACTAGCGACGTCAACATGCAGTGAGAGACTTCAACATGGAGGTGGAGGATGGGAGCCTGAGGGAGGTGAGCGGAGGATTTGAAGCTGAGGGGACGACAGGGGGGGTTCACTTGGAGTGCACGTACTAGGGAGTTCAGCATGCAGTAGAGAAGGGACTTCAACACGGAGGTGGAGGATGGGAGCCTCGGAGGGGTGAGTGAGGAGGATTTATATCCAAGTGAAGAAGCGGTGGGTGCAGGTGCAGTGCTGTTACTAGCGACATCAACATGCAGTGAGGGACTTCAACATGAAGGTGGAGGATGGGAGCCTCGGAGGGGTGAGTGAGGGAGTCACCGGAAGGCGGGGAATGATTGGATCCGGGAGGAAAATTGTGGGTAATAGGTGCAGTGCAAATGGGCAATAGTAGGGACAATAGCTTGCAGGCGCTAGGTTATTCCGAGGAGCGTGGTGAGGGAGGAAAATGGGCGTGAAGGGAACGCATGGAGGGAGGGAAGGGAGGGGGGAAGGGGGAAACGGAAATAAGGTGAAAGGTTGAGCAAGCTGAGCATATGCTGGCTGTGCTTTGCTGGTCCCAGCTGCCTCAAATGCATGGTCATGATTGAAGTGGCAAACGTTGTGTTGATCGTTTCCCATCTGTTCTCTGTTCCTCACTCTCATTCTACCCTTTCTTTCCTCTTCCTTCCTCCTGGCAGGTGGCAGATAAGGTAGTGGAGGTGTTTAAGGCATGTCGGGATGGCAGTTTCACACTTGTACAGCAGCTGCAGGCAGAGGAAGCAGCCGCTGCTGCCAAGGGAAGGCGCTCGGCACTGCAGCAGAGCAAAGCGGTGAGTCAGCATTGGCTGGGCGGTGACTCAGCATGGGCTGGACGTTTGTGGGGAGAAAAAAATGAATGCAGACGGTACAGGAATTGATTTTCGAACGTGTGTTGCATTTACTTTTACTTCTTAAACTCATGTTTCTTCCTGCATGCTGGTGTGTGTGCTTGTTTTCACAGGCAAACCGCAACGCAGACAGCGATGACAGTGATTCTGACGTGGAGGAAGTGGGGAACGGGGGAGCCATGGATGAAGATGCGCCAGGAAGGTGGTGCTGGGATGGGAGCTTCTTGTTCGGGATCGCGTAGAGCTGCTAAAGAAACTCCTCCGGAGCCGTTGCTGACACAAGAGGAGGTGGCCGACGGTTGGGAAGTGGCTCCGACCAGACGATCTCGCAGGCTTTCAAAAGGGCCAGGGAATGTTTGAAGTCGATTGAGGCGTTATGCATTTTAGTCAGCCCACAATGAGGGCTGTTTTGTATGTTGGAAGAAATATGTTTTTGTGTCCAAGTAGTTTTCCAGGCCTTCAAATGATACCTAAAGTACTTTTTGTTGTCCGTAACTTCACCTATGTAAGGAATTTTCCCGAATTCCTTATCGGGGTTGACTGCTTCGCGTACAACCCGATTTTCGGGGTTCGCACGTTCGGCCGATTTCAACGCTGCCGAGGCTCCTCGCGTCGCCTTCGGCATTTCCATCGCCAAACCTGCACCCAACCTCGCTCGTCCGAGGTTTCCTCCTAGCTAGGCTAGCCCTACATTAGTCTGTGTATTCATTGTATTCTCAGTTGATTCAGCCACAGTCTCGTTATTCGTTTACCTGCGCACTCTCTTTTACAACTCATAACACCTGGTATCAGAGCTACTTTCCTAGTTCACCCCGCTTTTCCGAGGGTAGTTTGGTGGCATAGGGTGTGGCTGGTTTAGTGACTACACGACGGTTGGCTGCAGGGATTGTTAATTCAATCATGCCCGACTCCGATAGTTCGTGTTTTCACTTGCCTGAAGGCCACGGAGACCCTGCCCACCAGATGTAGCGCTAGGCACATGGATCAGGAGGCGGCTAACAGGATGATGGCGCAAGTGGCAGAAATGCAGGTGAGCATGAGGACATTAATGGCGGAAGTGACAACACTGCGAGAGGAAAACGCCGAGCTACGCCAGACGCGAGGTGAAGCGCGTCAGGAGTCGCCTGTGGACGAAGGCGAGGGCAACAGTCAGGCGATGAGCAATCCGCTGGATGCGCTCACACGTGACTTCGAAGAGGAGGACAGGCAGCGAGCGGCAGCAGCGCCAGTTGCAGTAACGACGATCAAGATCAAGCCCGTTAACCCGCCCCCGTTTAACCCTACGGACAAGACGGTTACGGTAAAAGGGTGGCTGTTCGGGGTCGAGGTCTTTTTTACTGCAGCCGGAGTTAATGACGACGCCACGCGTATTAATTACGCGGTTTCGCTTCTTCGAGGTGCAGCGCTTGAGTGGTGGCGCCGAACCTTGGAAACAGGGACGCCGACAAGTGTGACGCATGCGGCAGACGGGACCTCAACAGTGACTAATCAAGTGGCACAATCAATCTTCGGAGTGACCACGATACGCACATGGAAGGAGTGGGGCGCAACCTTACGAGATCGCTTCGAGCACGTATCCGCCTCGGAGCAAGCTCGCATGAAGCTGCGTGCATGGTCGCAGATGGCTTCTGTCCAAGACTACACGGCGTCATTTGTGGGCCTCGCCGACCAAGTTGATGACATGTCGGAAGCTGAGCGGTTAGATAAGTACAATCAGCGGCTCAAATACGAGATACTGTACGAGGTTCGTAGGGGCCGCCCGACGTCATTTCTTGCAAGCAGTACGGCTGGCGGAGTCTACAGATGCGCTGATGCAGTACGCGAGAGCAGCTTCTCGGGAGGGAAACCGCTTCGTGGCCAGACCCATCGGGCCACGATCAACGCCGTCCATACACCCGCCGCCTGTGAGAATGAAAACGAGGAATGATGGCATTGAGCAGCATGAGGAGTACAGTAGGAAACCCTAAAGTGTTGTACCCCATATTGACTACCCCCACTACAACCTAAACAGACTATAGCATATATAGTTCGACACCGCCCCTCCTAAGGGACCCGTGTTACCGGTGTGGGAAGACGGGTCACTACATGAGAGACTGCCACGAGAAAACGCCGCTGACGGGGAACGACAGGAAGGAGCAAGGAAATGGGAAGAGTCAGTAATTAGCGGGCCCTTTACTGACTGTGCTCCGTCGCCCGAACCCCCACCATCCCCACCGAGCCGTGGTTCCGATTCATGCAATCGATCGCACTCGGCGGAATAACGGGGATACACATGTGGATCACCCTGTGCTGGTCGCTGGCAAGGTGGTTAAAAAATAACTTGAAAATGTTCGTCGATGGAGGGGCCAGACATAGCCTCTTCAACTTGGCGAGTGCAAAAAAATGCAAGCTGCAACTTGACAGGTGTCTGCCCGAAATTGACGCCCGCCTCGTGGATGGGACGCCTCTGGCGATAACGGAAGAAACACGGATGGTCAGGATCGAATGTGGCGACGATTTCGGCTTCAGCATGAAGTTTTCTCGCGACAACATTGGACGGCTGCGACGTACTGCTGGGACGTGATTGGCTGCGAACGCACAACCCGTCATCGACTGGACAACGGGATCGTGCAGCATCAACAAGCACGAGGGGGCTAATTAAACTACCTGCATGGACGCCTGACTACATCCAAGCCCCGTGCGTCAAAGCTATCTCTATAGCTTGCCACTTTCAACAGAGGCGCGCAACTGTTCGTTGTTTGCTTACGGGAGTTGGCGGTTGACACCGACGGAAAGGGCATCGAGGAAGCTGTGTGCAGCTGTACCACCTGATTTAGCGCAGCTGATTCGGAGGTACCCTGACATTTTCCCCGACGACCTGCCACCTGGACTGCCACCCGAGAGACCTGAGGGCCACAAAATCCAGCTGGAACCTGGCGCGCAACCGACTGTTCGGACACAGTGGCGGTTGACCCAGCCGGAACTCGAGGAGCTGCGAAGTTAAATTGACGCACTGTTGGAAGAAAGGATTCATCCGGGCCAAGCACATCTCCCTTCGCAGCACCGATCCTGTTCACCCCGAAGAAGGACGGCGGGCTTCAGATGTGTATCGACTATCGCGCGCTGAACCGGGTCACCATCAAGTCTCGCTACCCAATCCCACGCACCGACGACCTCCTCGACCAACTTCGCGGCGCTCGATATTTCTCGAAGATTGACTTGCGTGGCGGTTACCACCAGATTCGAGTCTTCGCCGACGATTGTCACAAGACTGCGTTTCGCACATGCTACGGGAGTTACGAATTTACTGTGATGCCTTTCTGCCTCACGAACGCGCCTTCGACTTTTCAACTGACCATGAACAGGGTTTTTCGGGATCTTCTAGACCGGTGTGTCATCGTCTACTTGGACGATATCCTCATTTTTAGCAAGACACGGGAGCAACACCTCCGCGACCTGGATGCAGTGTTTAAGGGGCTGCAGGAGAACCGACTCATCACCAAGGGCTCTAAGTGCGAGTTTTTTAAGCAGAGTTGGAGTTTTTGGGGCACGTTATCTCGCGCAACGGCATTAAAATCGACCTGGCGAAAATCAAGACCATACAGGAGTGGAAGTCTCCGACGACGGAACTCCAGAGTTTTCTCGGATTCGTGAATTACGTCCGACGGTTTATTCCGAATATGGCGGGGATAACCGGCCCGCTGACCGACCTGCTGCACAAGGACAGGAATTTTGTGTGGGGGGAGGAGGCGAGAAGCGGCTTTCAAGGAACTCAAGAATTTCCTCGTTTCCCCTCCTATGATGCGCATCGCCGACCCATCGAAGCCGTTCGAAGTTGTAACCGACGCCTCAGATTTCGCCATCGAAGCTGCGCTTCTCATAGACCTTGGGAACAGGTTGCAGCCGATAGCCTACGAATCACGCAAGCTGCAGGCAGCCGAATGCAACTACCCGATCCACGACAAGGAGATGCTCGCCATCATACACGCGTTTAAATTATGGCGATGCTACCTGGTGGGCGCCGACGGTCACTGTTCGCACGGACCACAAGTCCCTACAGTACCTGCGAGCCCAACCCATCCTCAACCCACGACAGATTCGGTGGCTGGACTACATGGAGAGCCACTTCACCTACCGCATCACGTACAAAAAAGGGGCTAATAACATCGCCAACGCCCTGACCCGACCGACAGTACAATCCGCTGCAGTACTCATTCACCCACTCGAACCCGTTACTTACCGGACTATTTACCCACGGCTACACGACGGACCCATTCTTCACGATGGGAAATCTGTCAGAACATTATAGCTCATGCATATTGTGTAGGCTATAGTGGGGTAGCCCATAAGGGGTACAACCCAATTAGGGTTAGTACTTGTACCCAATTCATTCATAGTTCATTCATTCTCGTTTCTATTCTAACGTGGTATCGAGCAGGCTCCCTCGTGGGAACTGTTCCTAGGGCCCACCAATTCGACATTTTTTTTCTGCCCGGAGCGCGCTCAGTCCTAGCCCGAGTCGCGCTCCCCCCTTTTTTTCTCGCCCCGTCGCGCCGCCCTAGCGGCCCCGTCGCCTGCCTTGCGGCCCTCGCGCCGTCCTTCCTGGCCCCGACCCGCCGCCCGGCGGCCTCGTCGCCTACCCCGCGGCCATCGCGCCGCCCTTACCCGGCCCCGATCCGCCGCCCTGCGGCCTCGTCGCCTACCCAGCGGCCCTCGCGCTGCCTTGCGGCCCTGACGCCGCCCTTTCCGGCCCCCGGCGCCTACCTGCGGCCCCGACGCCTACCTGTGCGGCCCCGGCGCCTACCTGCTGGCCCCGCCACCTACCTGCGGCCCCGCCACCTACCAGCGGTCCCGCCACCTACCCGCGGCCCCGCCACCTACCTGTGCGGCCCCGCCACCTACCTGCGGGCCCCGCCACCTACCAGCCGGCCCCCGCCACCTACCCGCCGCCCCGCCACCTACCTGTGCGGCTCCGCCACCTACCTGCGGCCCGCCACCTACCAGCGGCCCCGCCACCTACCCACGGCCCCGCCACCTACCTGTGCGGCCCCGCCACCTTCCTGCTGGCCCCGCCACCTACCTGTGGCCCCGCCACCTACCTACGGCCCCGCCACCTACCAGCGGCCCCCGCCACCTACCTACGGCCCCGCCACCTACCCGCGGCCCCGCCACCTACTTGTGCGGCCCCGGCGCCTAACCTGGAGGCCCCGCCAACCTACTTGCGGCCCCGCCACCTACCTGCGGCCCCGCCACCTACTAGCGC